CCACGAAAGCTTATGCTCTAATAAATTTGTTAGTCTCTAAGGTGCCACAAGTACTCCTGTTCTTTTTGCGGATACAGACTAACATGGCTGCTACTCTGAAAATAGTGATGGGAATTAAGGGTGGAGGCTGCCGATTAAATCTGTTTTAAATCAATTTATGCATGTAAATAGAACTCTAGCCTTCCCCTACCAGAGTCCAATTGCCTTCTATCTTAAGTAAATAATTTCTCAATGGTAAAGTGGTCATTTAAGAGGACTGTGTCATAATTGCAAGAGAATATAAAGGTGATTGTGTAAAGGGGGGCTAATAACAGAAACATTCAAATATCATACCTAGAAATCAACTCACTGCCTATCAATTTTCTCATGACTTCAAGTCATTTAAGAGATTTATAGGACTTCTTCCCCTAAGTGTGATTTCAAATAATACAGATTTGAGGTTCATTGGTCACTTCATAGCAGTACACTGCCTATGACCATTGCTAGATTTTGATCTTTGCGGGAGAGAGCATTTATGCAGAATTTTACTTCAGTAACGAGCAGGTTGGATTACTGCCAAAGTGAATCCACTTTTTGAAAAATACTTTAATTACTGTTTTGTCACAGTGATATAGTCTTCTCCCTTTAAAGATAGAGCCACTTAAACAGATTTTTCAAAGGGACTGAAGAGTTTAGGTGCCCAATGCCCATTGATTCTTAATGGGATTTGGGATCCCAACTCCTTTAGGCCCATTTGAAAACCCCAGCTTTAAACATTAGTCATTAAAGCTATATGACTTATGTACTGAGTCAGTAAATTCATTTTAAAGGGGCACTGTTTCCAATGTACCTTAGCAATATAACTCTATCAGTAAATAAACTTTCTTCTATTAAACATCAACTACATTTAATCTTCCTTCTACAAATATGTACGTGAGGCAGTGCAGAGGTGAGAATGCAAAACTTCATTTTCGTCATCCCTTATATGAGTTAGAAACTACCTCTGAAAAATGCAGCAGGTAACCTAGTCTAAACAATAAGTATTCATGAAAAACGTAATCTCTGCAATCTAATTGGACAGACTTCTTAATCAAGAACCAAGAGCAGAGTTCTGCATGGCAAAAGCTAACTGCTAAAATGAGTAGGTTCTGTATAATTCAGCTTTCCGTTTTCAAGCAGTAGCGCTAAGCACGCTCATTCAAGAAATCTATCCAAAGACTTGCACTCATCTTTTATGCTAACCCATGCAACCTGATTGCTGGGTAGGAGCATACCTTTGTGTGTTCACGGACTGCTTGTTAAAGGCTCAGAATTGTCAATCAGGCATAGTAAAGGTCCTCTAGTCACAGAAGACGGTACAGCAAGGCAATACGGGTGTTCTCTCACTGCTCTCCCAGCGTGTCTTCATCCTGATCTGGTGTTGTCAGATCGCAGTTTAGTTACGTGAGTTGGGTTTCATCAATCTATTGTAGAAGATAGAGGCTTCATGATGATTCACCGGGCCATACCATTTTAACACTGCAGTTAAGTGGTTCCTGCCACTCCAGTAGCAAAGCTTATTTGAGAACACAGGAATTTAGCTGCCACATCTCAGGACTTTTCTACACTGCATTGTTAGTTTGAACTGTAACTCAGGATTTGCCCCTAACGCAACTCCTGTCCACAAACACATCTAGCTCGATCGTGGTGCTTTAAGCTAGAGCTAGTTGGCCTGTTATGGAGGGGGGGTTGAAGCCCAAGCGCTGGTCCTGCAATGGAGACGCAGCAGCTCAAGATACAACTCCTCAGCTGCTAATCCAATAAGGAGCTGGCACAGCCTGCAGCATGGTCACTCACTCAGCTAGCTTAGGAGGAAAGCAGATTCTTTCTTCTAATATTGGCAACTAAAACTGGAATAGCCACAGAATTGTGTGTCTCTAATAAACCAGAAGGTAGACCCATAGCTAGGGCCCTACCAAATTCACGGTCCATTTTGGTCAATTTCATGGCCATAAGATTTTAAAAGTCATAAATGTCATGATTGCAGGTATTTAAATGTGAAATTTTGCAGTGTTGTAATTGTAGGGGTCTTGACCCAAAAAGGAGTTGTGTGTGTGTGTGTGTGAGTCACAAGGTTATTGTAGGGGGGGTTGCAGTACTGCTACCCTTAATTCTGCTCTGCTGCTGGCAGCAACGCTGCCTTCAGAGCTGGGTAGCTGGAGAGTGGCGGCTGCTGGCTGGGAGCCCTGCTCTGAAGTCCGAGCCACTGGCAGCAGCAACGCAGAAGTAAGATTGGCTTGGTACGGTATTGCCACCCTTTTGCTCTGCTTCTGGTGGGGCGCTGCCTTCAGAGCTGGGCGCCTGGCCAACACCTGCCGCTCTCCAGCCGCCTAGCTCTGAAGGCAGCGCAGAAGTAAGGGTGGCAATACTGTGACCCTCCTAAAATAACCTTGCAACCCCCCTGCAAGTTCCTTTTGGATCAGGGCCCCCAATTTGAGAAACGGTCTTCTCCCATCAAATTTGTATAGTATAGGGTAAAAGCACATACAAGACCAGATTTCACGGTCCATGATGTGTTTTTCATGGCCATGAATTTGGTAGGGCCCTCCTCCTAGCAGAGTTCTGGACGGCATTTGCCATGGCGGAAAAATTTCTAAATTGAGAGACAATTGTTTGTTTATCTTTCCTTACTGAAAAGAATCCAGCTTTGAAGAAGCATCCATTTAAATGTTTGTCTTATCTCTCCAAAGACTTGCTACTGATACTTCCTTTAAGAAATTATGTCTTCCATAAGAGTTTAGTTTTGAATCCAGTTTGTCCCCTGTCTGGTTTAAAAACAAAACTCAACTGAGACAAACAGAGCTCTTCAAAAATTAGAAGCAAACTTAAGTGTGATGAAGGCTCCAAAGCCATTATTGAGTAACTGCTAAAAAACATCTGTGTCCTTCTTTCTTTTCTCCTCAGAGCAATGCTAGAGTGGCAGTGCTTGGTGCCTCTGGAGGGATTGGCCAACCTCTTTCCCTTCTATTGAAGAATAGCCCCTTAGTGAGCCACCTCAACCTGTATGATATTGCTCACACCCCTGGCGTTGCAGCTGACCTTAGCCACATTGAGACAAGAGCCAATGTCAAAGGTATCGTAAGTCATTATTAATTATCTGAGGCATATTACTGTGCACGCAGAGGTCCTAGATTGAAGTGATTCTTACTATGTGTTATGTGTAGGATACACAACAATATTACTATATATGTGACGTGGGGCACTACTTGTCTTTTATAAATAATTACATTCCTGTTAACTTGAAACTAAAACTGGAAATAGCTTATTTCTCCAAATAACTTCTAAGAACAAGATTTAGTTAAATAGATCAGTTGCTGCTAAGATGGTCAGAACATCTTTACCTACTTTTTCATTTTTTATTTGTCCACTGAAAAACTGTTTTTGATTAATGTGAAAGTTCACACTGGCTACCAGAATAAATTCAGTAAAAATTGAGAAATTTGATCGTAGACTTTAGCTAGCAGCTGTATTTTCTTACTTTGATAAACTCAGAACTTTGTAGGAAAATACCGTTACCATAGTGTAGCTCTTTGAGAGAGCCTGTCTGAATCTACACTCCTAGAATGAATCTCCCAAGGGTGTGGCTTGGTATAGGCAATCTCAAAAAAAAAAATTTCTATCTAAACTTTCACTTTTACGATATATTTACTCTTCTGGTTTCCATTTCATTTATAGAGTTTGTTCTCAAAGGAGAAAGTTTTGCTTGCTGCTTCATAGGAGGCATAGGGATTTGTTTTGATTCATGGAATAGAATTACAAACACTTTTTCTGAGGACAGCGGTATTTGCATATTAGATGGTTTGAATTTTACTAGAGACACTCAGCCATTCTCATTCTAAGGGATGAAATTAATATTGAAGGCGGCGAAGGCTACATTAAAAATTAACATGATATCCTTAAACATACAGTTTCATACACTACTAAATTTGATTTGGACAGCTTAATCTTTCACTGGAACAGTGAAATGCATAGTTACCTGGATCTTCCATTGCAGGTTTTATTGGATCTGAGCAGTTGCCAGACTGTTTAAAGGGCTGTGAAGTTGTAGTTATTCCTGCAGGAGTCCCTAGAAAACCAGGTAGGTCTTAAGTTTATTGAACGTAGCACTCTAAAATGTTTGGATTATTGTGGTAAGGCCTGAAATGCTACGCCACTACTTCTATCTTGAGTCTGCAAGTCCCTCAGAAGATCATCTTGGGCTTAGAGCACTGGACGGACTCTGTTTTTTGGGGTCTGTTTCTGGCTGTGCCATAGAATTCCTCTGAGACATTAGACAATCTTTCTGTTTCCAAGTTCCTCATCTGTAAAAGGGAGATACACACCTGCAAGGTAGACAAGTATTTAATGAATTATTGAATATATGAGGCACTCATGCTAGAGTTATGAGCATCATAGAAAAGCCCATAGAGGCTTCATGCTGGAAGTAGTACTGATCGACGTTCCAGGAACAAAACTTCATTTTATCCTGCTGGGAACTGGGACTAGAGACCAGTCTTGGGAGTATACAATTAATGTAGTGCTGGCACTTTTATAGTGCTGTCCCTTGAGAGGATCTGAGAACTGTACAAATATCAATGAAGTTCACAACACCCTTGTGATGTATTACCTGAATTTTACAAATAAGTGGAAATTGCCTTTTGTTTCTTGGTGTGTTTTTTGGGGGGGGAGGGGTCTCTAAGGTCATAGGGGGAGTCTATTTCCCAGCTCTGCTATATAAACCCAGACTTCTTGACTCTAAATCTTGTTCTTAAACTGTTGTGTTAGGAACGTAACCAATAGTGGGTCAGACCAATGGTCCATCTAGCCAGTTATCCTGTCTTCTGACAGTGGCCAGTGCCAGATGCTACAGAGGGAATGAAAAGAACGGGGCAATTATTGAGTGATCCGTCCCCTGTTGTCCAGTCCCAGCGTCTGGCAGTCGAAGGATTAGGGGCACCCAGAGCATGGAGTTCTTTTCTGTTACCATCTTGGCTAAGAGCCATTGATGGACCTATCCTCCAGGAATGTATCTAATTCTTTTTTTAACCCGATTATACTTCTGGCCAGCACAAAGAGGGCTGTGGCACCCATACAATGAGCAGGGTATCCATATTTGACAGTTTAATGACAAGATACTACAGTGATAAGGGCCTTTTAAGTACCTGGATACATAAAATGGGGTAAAAACTGTGCACCTGCCCCTACTCTGTGCACTCTTCTTTCAATGACTGCCCTAACTGGTATTTGTCTGGACTGATGTGGTGATAGTAATACATTAGGCTGCTGTCTCTATCATCCGGGTTATGACCTGTGCTACTTGTTCCCCAGGCCAGTAGGTAGTCAAGCATATTTCAGGAGTGAGAAGTTTAGGATATGTCTACACCGTGGAGACTACCAGCAGAACTACATTGTCGTAGCTATGCTGACATAACCCTGTAGCGTAGACACAACCTGCACCAGTAGAATGGATTTTCTATTGCTGTAGGAATACCATCTCTCTGAGCAATCTATGCTGGGAGTTAGGTTGGCGTAGCTACATCAGTCATGAGCGTGGACTTTTCACACCTGTGACCAGTGTAGCTATGTTGACCTAACCTTTAAGTGTATACCAAGCCTAAGTCTCTTACTAGCAGAAGCTAGTTGTAAGGGATAACCTTGACACTAGCCTTGGAGGATGTGAATTGCCTTCTCGGAAGTGGAGAGTCTCCAGCCAGAAGTAGGACAGAATTCGGTGACGTTTGACACAACGGATCCCTCCTGGTGTTATGATTGGGTAGGGCTTGCTCACATTCCTAACCACTGTAATGGGAACAACTTGGTTAACTTCTGGAATGATATTCAATTTGTTGATTCCCAGGTATGACCCGTGATGACCTGTTCAATACCAACGCTACCATTGTTGCGAATTTGACGTCTGCCTGTGCCAAGCACTGTCCAGAAGCCATGATCTGCATTATTGCTAACCCGGTAAACATAAATGTCTGGGATACTCTGAATACATAGTGGAGAGAAGCCAAGGGACTAGCAGCGTTAGTTAACTGACTGTATTAACAAGCCAAAAATTAATGTTGTATCATCCTTATTAACACATTTTCCAATCTTGTCGTGACTGAAAACAAATTGGCTAGAGCTAGATTTCCAAGTTCATGTTTAAGTCCTGTGAATATGACCAGTTCCATAGGTATAAAATGGTATAGAGGTCCTAAACAAATATCATGCAGTACACCCACAAGAGACAGCTACACAGGATTTATATGTCTACCAGTAAATTAATCTGCTTAGAAGCTTTAGTTCTTTAATATGCAGCCCTTCATAACATGAATGAACCAGTGAATGTCTTGAGCCAGGCTTGATGAAGCATTATTTCAGCCAGTCTGAGTTCTCCTCTTCAGTTTTGTTATTGACAAAGACTTTGAATAAACTTTTGTTTGCTGAAGGCCTTTAACACAGGAAAACCGCGCACTAGTGTATACAGAGGTATTTGAGCACTACTGTCAGCTTGCTTGTGTAATAAAATTTGTGATGGTACAGTAGAAATAACATAGGTATTGTAAAGAGGCTCACTCTACCATGTTAACGAGATCTGTTTATATTATAACTTTCTCTAAACAAGCTCAGTTTTTTGTAATGATTGTTTTGTTTGATATTTACATGGTAAGGATTTGTAAGCCTGTTAAAACTTCATAAATAGCTATCAAAATGCATGGTAATGTGGTAATGCATGCCTACCTGCTTCTCAATTATAGGTAAATTCTACCATCCCAATAACCTCTGAAATTTTTAAGAAGCATGGGGTTTATAATCCCAACAGAATCTTTGGTGTTACCACACTGGACATTGTCAGAGCAAATACTTTTGTGGCTGAACTAAAGGTAGGTTTTAATCTTCCTGCTTCAATAGATTTGTTGCTATGAACCTTTATCATTCATATTAGCAATGCTCTTTGTCATAAATCATGAGTGAACAGAGCCAAATGGTCGCAGATTCCCCAAGAACTGGAGGATATGGGGACATGATTTGCTATTTCCAGCCTTTGGATAGTCTAAGGATAGGGTCTCTGTCCTTCACGGTGCAGTTGTAGTCAGAAGAGAATTTCATAGCTGCACCTTGAGAGTCTGAGCCACATGTTTACCTTACTGATAGTGGCATTTTCACTCGTGCTAGAGTCCAACGCAACTGTGGAAGAGTGAGTTGGTTTCTAACATGCCCCGCTGAGCAACAGACTTGTTGCAGAATGGGTTCTCGTGGGAGAACAGCTTGACTTTCATACCCCATGTGGAGTTTATAGTGTTGGCATTTCAATTCATTGATAAAAGCCTACTGAGAGTAAAGTCACTGTGATGATAAGCATAGATTTCTATGATGTGGTTTTAATTCATTCTTCGGAACATGACTAGACTTTAAACTGTTTCCATTATTCTACACCATGTAGCATTACATTGCAGATGTCTGATTAAATGTCCAGGATAGAAATAGGGCACAATGTCTCTAAAGGCATACTGCTTTTCTTGCCCAGACACTTTTAAAAATAATTGCTAAAGTCATGAGTTTTCCTGCAGGGCTTCGATCCAGCTCGAGTAAATGTTCCTGTTATTGGTGGCCATGCAGGGAAAACGATCATCCCTCTGATCTCTCAGGTATGTTACAGTAAATACCCAGTGTATGGAAATGTTCGTTCTTCCCCATTCAGTATTGCATTAATGTTGATCTGAAATGCTGTTGCTGATGCCTCTTTCCAGCTGTCCGTGTGTGCTCATTCACAAAGGACTGTTGTACGATTGGAAATTCATTCTGCACACTTCCAAAGTCCTAAACCTAAATTCCTCTGACTTTTAAAGCACCATAAACTTATGTGGCATTTGAGAGTAAGACCCTTTTCCTCAAGGAGCTTTTAATCTAAGATAGACAAGACCATGGCACATCTCTCTTAGGGAAGAGAGCTGGGAGAGATCATTAGTACCTGAATTTCTGTGACATTCACTGTATTATGTGTACACTTTACAACCGTAAATTAATTAAGCTGTATCCACCTCTGAGACATGTCAGTAACTGAAGCACCAGAGATGAAATGAGTGGCCTAGGGTTGAATGGGGAGTCTTTGGGCAGAAATGAGAAGAAAACACACATCTGACTCCCAGTCCTGTGCCTGAAACACAAGTCTTTGAGGAAAGGGAAGGAAGGAATCCTGGAAGTGGGTTCTTGCAAGGGTAAGAGATGTGTGATAGAGGAGTGCTTAAAAAGATCTGATGGGAATAGTAAGGGGAGAGGGCTGGGAATGGGAGGAATTATGCTCAGGTGTAAGGGAGGAGTGTGATTATATGGAGCTAGGAAGGGACGGTCAGGGATCTTGAGTTTGATGTAATAAAAGGAGGAAACTAGTAAAGGGGGGTGGCCAAAATGACCGGAAAAGATTATTTTAGCCATGCGGGGAGCACATTTTGTCAACTGTGTGGATGATGACTGTAGTAGAACAGAGAACTTTAAGTGTTCAAAATCCTCATAAACACAGCAACAGACGAGGTTCTCAGCAGTGTGTATCCAGAGATCTTTCCTTGATGTAATGCCCTGTGCTAGAAGTGTGGAAAGAGGGTGACCAGAAGTCCCGATTTTATCGGGACTGTCCCGATATTTGCTTGTTTGTCCCGTGTCCCGACCGAACATCGGTCGGAACACGGGACAAACAAGCAATTTTGCCCTCCGCTCTGGCGCACAGGTGGAGCCCAGAGGGGCTCGCCCCCCGACACTGCCCCATTGGATCCCTCCCCAAATCCCCACCCTGGCCCTACTTCTTCCCCAAGCACGCCGCATTCCTCCTCCCTCCCAGGCTTGCGCTGATCAGCTGTATGGCGGTGCAAGCGCTGGAGGGAGGGGGTGGCGCCCAGCACTCACCCTGCGAACTGCTCCAGCTTCTCCAGGAAGGTGAGGATGGCCCGACAGAGATCCCACAGAGGCTCCCTCTGCCCGAGCCCCCGGTAGAAGGCAAGGCAGGCCTGGGCCTCCTGCGCCGCACCCATGGCTCACGGAGCGGCCTGGGCTGGGAGAGCGGCCGGGAAGCGAGCCAGGTGGCCGGGAAGCGAGCCAGGCTGCCCCGGGGATCTAGTGCAGCACGTGGGCTTGGCAGCTCCGGGCCGGGGCACGCTCAGCTGTTGCAGCTACCATAGAGTCGGGTGGAGACGGGGCTGTGCCGCCTGGCGGCGGCCGTCACAAAAAGACTCTGCCCTGCAGGCGCGCCAGCCCCCCATCTAGTGCTGCAGGGGGTCTAGCCGGGCTGCAGGGAGCTGCCGCTGCTCCCCCGGCCCAGCTCAGCTCCCCCCAGCCCAGCTCCCACCCGCTGCAGCCACCGCTGGAGAATTCAGTAGGCGCAGCTCTGCGGCTGGTACCCCGTTTCTGCTCCTCTTTGCACTGCTCGGCTGTGGTCCCCGTCATGCCTGTCCCTTGCTGGGCTCCCCTGACACCTGCGGTGCGGTTGGAAGGGCTGGCTGAACTTGGGCAGTGGTTTCTTTTTTTGTTTTTGTTTGCTCCGCCGCCGGCTTTCTCCCTCCCTCCCCCTCCCCTGCATCCCGATATTTTACCTTTGTCATCTGGTCCCCCATGTGAAAACCATTAGTGTATAGCTTTGAGAAGTCAAAAGCCTACTATGCGCGTTACTTAGCGGAAGTCTGTCTGGTGAAAGAGGCTGCAAGATGGGTCTGCTGAGTTCCTAGTTCTACCATTAAGCAGCAATTTGACCTTGGGCAAATCACTTGATGTGATCTAGCTCTATTTATAGTCAATGAGAGCTTCTCTGTTGGCTCTGACAACTGGATCAGGCCACATCATGGCTTTGCCTACCTCTGAAATGGGGATACTTGTCTGTCTGCTTTGAAGCACTTTGACTGTGTGCTGATGAAAATTGCTATAGGAATATAAAAAATACTATTGGGTATTTAGGCCTCTGAAGCATTATAATGAATGTAAAGGGATGTTGAGATTTACCGATAACTGATACCTTTCCACTTTAGTGTACACCAAGAGTGGAGTTCCCTCAGGATCAATTGGAAACACTTACAGGGAGAATTCAGGAGGCTGGTACTGAAGTTGTGAAAGCTAAAGCAGGAGCAGGTTGGTTCTTGGAAACTGTTCTGAATCTTAGTTGTTTGACCATTCTGAGTGCGAGCAGTACTCTTATATTCCAGAATAGACTGGAAACTACAGAGCAATGTAATGCCTTGGTGTTTATTACAAATCTTTGCAAATGGGTTAGTGCTGCCAATGGCATGCTTAGAAGCAATTCAGTCTTTAAGGTGGAATTAAACAGTAACCTACTCTATGGAATCTATTAATGTGCAACAACCCTCGTCACAAGCAGATTAAATGTGTCAAACACATACCACTAAAATGGCATGCCAGTGGCCAAAAGTTACTGTTGAGTGTTAGCTTCAGGGCTTTTGATCTTGTGCCATGACATCCCTTGGACTTGACGAGTGCACTGTGAAATATGAACAGTTAAGCCCATCTCTTGTCCTTTACTGCTCCCTTCTGCTATACAGCTTTTCTTTATTTAAAAACAAAAAACTCGCTTATCTCATTGCAACACAGAGGGAAGGAAGGACCAGATAGTGCAAATGTGAAAAAACAAGCAGAGGAACGTCAAAGGAAAAATTATTCTGCTCCTTTTGATCTATCGGGCAGTAAAAAACTTTTCCCCCCCTTTGTGCAGCCTCTTTAAAAGAAAAGCTGCACTTGGTGTGGTGGGGACAGGTTCTGATGCTTCTGAAGTATTCAGAATATGCAATCACTATCTTCTGAGCTTGTGCAGCCACCTAGCCAAAAATGTGACACTCTTATTCAAACGGCAGAGACTGTAAACCAGTTTCCATTCTACACTAGTACTAACTTCTCAATTGGGCATAAAGTTTAACAACAAGTGTGTAAGTCCATACCACTAGGATCTCTCATATTTTTGTTCTGATTCCTATTTACACAGGATCTGCCACCTTATCTATGGCATATGCTGGTGCCAGGTTTGTCTTTTCTGTCCTGGATGCAATGAATGGAAAGGAAGGGGTTATTGAATGTTCCTTTGTTAGATCGGAAGAAACGGAGTGCCCATACTTCTCCACACCTTTGCTACTTGGGGTATGTATCTTGGATGGTGGTGCTTTTAACCGGCACGTTTAATGTAATAAATTGTACTTTATTAAGCAGGAATGGTGTTGCAGACTTAGCTTGCTTGGCTAATGCAACACTTGTTCAGAAAGCACTTTAACACTTTGGATATTTGGTTCAGGCTTTTAATAATCATATTCTAATGTTTTTTTAAGACCGGCAGTGGCGTAACTCCTAAAACTATTTTAATTTCTCATTAAAAATGTCAAGGACTATGGACTATTTTAAACAAATATCTGCAATAGCTTTTGAGCTCCTGGTGTTTCAGCAAAACTAAATAAGAGAAGGGCTTGCCTATTTTAGTAACTTATTTACTCAGGCAAGTGCAAATTTCGTGTTTCAGTTGCTTCCTGTGCCCTCTTCAGCGTCTCAGCCTGAACTTCTGGTTCCCAGTCACTCTAAATAGGAGGTTGTAGTGTCTCCGTTTATGAAGAGTTTTCAAAACGTCAATAAAAGCCCAGTAGTCTGGTCACCATAACTTAATCTACTAAAATAAATCCTTTACACATTGACTCGTGTGTGTGGAAGTCCCACTGAGGCCGTCAAAGTTCTACTGGTGAACGGGAATTGCAGTTTGATGGCCAGTACAGGTGCTGGGTTAAGGATCGTGCTGTGGCCTTTGGAAGTGACATAAGAGTGTTTTATTGTGTCATTAAAACACAGTAATGTAGTTTATTTTATGTGGACTATGTAAAGAGAAGCTTTTGAGGCAACAAAAAGAAAAGGGAGTTTCAGTCCTTGAGGGAAGGAATTAATTATGGACAGTGAAAGGGTATCATACTCACTCTGGTAGGTGGACAGAAGTAAACACTGTATTGAAATAAGTGGGCCCAGCAGGTCAGATACAGGATGGTAGACTCTAAACTCTATGGGCTCTAGAAAGCTAGAAGGGTAACTTTGAAGTGGATTTGAAAATTCATTGGAAGCCACTGGTGAAAATGTATGTGATTGTCTTCTTCCTGCAGGGTAAATTTCAGGTCCTTGGACTAGTGTGTGGTTTTAAGAAAACAACAAAACACTTGAGGGGAAGGGATGAAAACACCAAAGGAGCGGTTGGTATTTCAGCTCCTCTTCTAGGAAGGAGTCAGTCCTAAAATTAGACAGGACACATTCTTTTCCCCCATCCTGATGGGTGGGTAGGAAATTCATATTGAAATATAGTAGCTATGTTTGAACTGTTTTGTTCAACTCCTGCAGATATACCAGTTATAGAGAGCTGAGGAGGAGGAAGTTTGTTTTTTAAACTCAAGTTTAACCCTCTAACTAGGCACAGATAGGAAAGCTATTCCTTGCTAAAGAATGCAATGATTGTGTAACCCAAAAACCCTTCTTCCCCTGTCAGAAAAATGGAATTGAGAAGAATCTAGGTATTGGCAAGATCTCTCCGTATGAAGAAAAGATGATAGTTGGGGCCATGACTGAGCTGAAAGCTTCTATCAAGAAGGGAGAGGAGTTTGTGAAGAGCATGAAGTGAAGAGCGGATGGGGAAGAAGAATCACAGTTTCCTTAATTTATTAAGGCATCATGTCACTTTAAAAGACTCCAGATGCAAAGCACAAGCTTTGATCAAAGTCACTCTGTATTAGTGTATTATCTGCTCTCAATTTGTCAATTGGAATCTACTCATCAATAAAACAGCCTCCTATTTTTTTCAGGGTACTCATTGTGGAACTCTCCAACGTGATTTCTGGCTTTCTAAAGCTGTCAATGCTCAAATATGAGAATGGGCAACAGTATTTCAAAGATTATGCTTTCAGGTCTCACCCATACTGCAACACCCAGTTATGCTGCCATTTGCCTACTTAATATTCATGAACACAAGATCAGTTCTTCCTCCCTTCAAAGAAGGGAACACAGTAACCTATGCAGAAGCTGGTATGCACTGCATAACTCCTTGAGCTCCTCTTCAGTCATGTTTAGTCTCTGGGAAATCGTGAGGTTCACTTCTGGAGAAATTTTGGGAGCTTTTTGAGTAAATTGTACACCACCCTCTCTAGAAGAGAGGCAAATGGACTTGGCCAACTGTTGCAATAAGATACGCTCCAGTTAAATTAAAGAGAAATTTTCCCAATGCTTTGTAATATTCCATTCTGTAGCTGCATCAGGCTTCCCCAGCGCAAATCTGCAGGACATCACCTCAAGCTTGGCCTTGCAAATCCCTTGAGCAGTTTCTTTGTAAAACTAGCAAAGACCAGGCTACTGAAAATGACCAGTACCCCCAGACCATTGTAACATTCACCACAATTATTGGCAGACAGGTAGACCCACCTAGTTCTAACCTCTGACATATAATACAACAAAGGACTTCTATCCACACAGCCTTTTCCTCATTTTACTAAAATCTTCATTTTGGAAGGCTTTTACTCTCTAGGTGGTGCTGTTCTCCCAAGGCTGGCATTCTAGTGGTGGTCTGTTCAGTATAACGTTGGTATGTGCTACAGTAGACAGCATGCTCTCATGAAGACAACAGTAATGTTGGAAGGTTTATAAAAGGAGGAACTTCTCTGGTCAGGCTGCCAAGTCAATCGCCAGAAACTGGCTTCTGCTGCTAGTCATCCTGGGCCTAAACTTATGGAGAGGCAAAGAATACAGCTGAGCGGAAAGACTAGAAGTGAATGCTTGGCATTTCAGCTCTCTTGCAGGAGGATCCAAGTGATTTATCAGCCCTACTCTCACTTTACACCATTTAACTAACTAAACCAAGGTCTCAGTGGGAAAACTGACTGTGGAATCCTGATTTTTTTTTTGTCTCCACTCCTGCTGTTACTGACTTGTGTTACCATCGTGCCTGGGGCCCTAGACCAGGACTCCATCTTGCTAGCTGCTGTACAAACACGCTATAAATTAGTGAACTGTTGCCTTCTATAACCAAAATTAATAAGGTACTGTCATGGCAGTTGAATCAAATCACATACAGAGGTCTTGTCTACATGGGGAATTTACCAGCATTGCTATAGTTAGCTTGTTGCCTCCAAAGTATAAGCCATAAAAGGACACTTACTCCAAGTAAGTGTACATGTTGGTACATATACTAGTATAGTAATGCCAGTAAATCTCTCTGGATAGGCAAACCCTGAGTCACAGCAAATAACATATGGCACTGGATTGGATGTACCTTCCCTTCTATTTGATGCCTGGTCCTGCATCAGGCATTTTTTCGTCCCAGGGCAGGACTTGCTATGGCCCGTGAGGCCTTTGGAATGCCCCTGTGGTAATATGGGTATTGTGGTGGAAGGCATACTTAGCCTAAATGGGATAAATAGAAATTGGCTCTATTTAAAGCATGAGGTAAGGATCTTAATTCTTGTTTCCAGGGTTCATGAGCTTTCCTCTATATTGCCTGCTTCTTCAGCATTCGTTGGTAAGGTATAAAGCAGGTGTCACCTTTCCAGATGATCTTCTCATACCCAAGAGAAAAGGGTGAAAGACCTATTTCCGCACAGGTAGAGCATGTGTTTAGCTTTTTGCTATGACTTCGCTCCTAGTTTTGAGTATCTTCAGTGTGTGGGGACCTAAGGTCACAATTATCTGATCAGCTGTTTTGCTGTTTAGGCTGAGGAGGGGATCATTAGTTAGAGAGCAGCTGAGAGTCCTTAAAACCAAGAACCAAAAAGGAAGTAATTAGTACGTGATTACTACAAATGTGCTATGCAGGATATTATCCTGTACAGACTCCATGGGGCTTGCAGAGATGAGCGGGTTTCTATTTTTGCACTGAAAAATTAGTGGTTAAAATACAAAGCAGTGAATTGAAACAGTCTTGAATTCTGTGACGGAGGGCTTACCGAGCTAACTTTATGTAGAAAACTGTTCAGGACTTCCATAATAGATGTCCTTTTTAGGTTAATAATACCTAGCTCATATAACACTTTCTATCAGGTCTCAAAGTGCTTCACAGTCTTTTTTTAAAATGTATGTAGGGGCCCATTGTTGCTCTTGTCTTGTTTAGCAATCCTCAACTGATAGATGAGCTGAGTTGTCTTTTAAATTGCACCCATGACAACTTCAGTTCCTACTTCGTTCTATATTTGGTGATGAGCCAGAAGGGAGAGTGAACTCACCCCCCATAAACCTGCAGCCAACGCACGTGGGCGAGAAGCAGCAGATTGTCATAGCTGCAGTTGGGGAAACTATGGGCTGTAGATTCCCCAGAAGGGAGGGAGACTTAAATGGTCCTGATTCTGTTGTAACTTCAAAAAGGCAGATTAAATCCCTAGGTAATGGTGACTATTTGTATTGTGGTAGCACCTAGGGGCTCCAGTCATGGACCAGCCCCTCATGGTGCTAGGTGCTGAACAAACACTGAACTAACAGTCCCTGCCCCCAAAGAACTGTCTATATCTAACTACAATTACCTCATCCAAGGGTTTAGTTTTAAGAATTCCTAACTCTTTGGCGGGAACTATCCTGCCTGGTTTCTAGAGCTGAGCTCTAGGAGTTCTTAGCCCTCTCTACTTTTCCATGTTTATTTTGTACACATGTAGTTTCCCCTGTCAGGCCCTGCTCGTCATTGTTTGTGGCTTGGCCTTTTGTTTTAGTGACTATTTACTGTCTTAGCTTTCTCTGCTCAGCTGGGGGTTCCAATATGCTGCCATTCACGGGGGCGTGGCAGAGAGAGGGGTGAAAAGTGACTATTTAGCAGTTTTTCTCATTCAACTCCAAGGGAAGCAGCAATAGCATTTATTGGCCATGATGGGGAGTTGTAGGGGGTTATATTTTAGTAACAGTGCCAGGTCTGCTCCCATGATTCCAAGCTGGTACCTATTGCTATACAGGTTCTTGTATAGTGCCTATCATTGTGGTATCTGGGCACCTGGCTTGTTGTGACATCCTGCATCCATAAGAGACCCAGAATGCTAGGGATAAGAATTGCATAAACATTAGCGGTAGGTAAAAGATGAAAACAAGCGCTGCAGTTGGTTTATCCTCTATATTTCCCGTGGGGCAAGTTTTAATATAATTAGGATATCCTTCAGGGTTAACCCTTTAGTGAATCTTCCCTCTTCGGCTGTGTCAGGCTGGCGGGTGGATTGCTCCACCCTATAAATACATAAAGTACCTTGAACATTAAAAGAGATCCGGCTAATCTGAGCACTAGAACAGAGCAAGCTGATCTTTAGTATAAAGAAATGCAGAAGATAATACAGGGGAATTAATAACAGACTCTGCCCATCGAAGAGAGGAGACTCTTATCAAGGAACCAACTCCACAGGAGAGATTTATGGGTAATGGAATAAAAAAGTGGTGCCTGACCCTGAAGACTGATGCTGTTGCAAAGAGCAACCAGTGCAGCTCTGGGCTGTGTTTGCACTGGCCTCTTTTGCTAGACAGTGTTCCATGAAGGAATGTTGAGCTGATCTAGTGTAGCATTTTCCATGTTCCCATCCCCCTGCATTGATAAGGCTGCACCTCGAGTGCATGGCTGGGTTCTCTTTAAAAGGGATACTAAGAGACCAGAGAATAGCAACCACAGGCCCTGAGCGTATAACATACCAGGAAAGAATAAATGAATTAAAACATTTCACCTGCAAAAATTCACTTTGGGGCAATGGGGTGATGCTAATGATTTAGAAGGTAAAAAGAAGCACCCATTGGGCACTATTAATAAATCAAGGGGAAGTGCGTTAAAGCTTGAGAGTGATAAACTGAACTTGCATAGGAAGAAAAATGGCTTGAGAAGGGGGGAGTGGAGTGCTTTGCAGAGTGCAATAATTACAGCTCAGACAAGCTGGTTAGATAATCATATGGAAAGCCTAGCACCGAGGGCGTCTTGTGGAGGCAGGTGGCTGGACTTCACCCAGGAGGTCCCTGCCGCAACAGAAGCTGGTGATGTTGGGTTATTATTTGACTCCGGGCTTCATTTCCACCTGGAGCTGGTGAGCAGTCAACCAAGGCGGTTTGCTGAAAAGGAGGCTGCCTCTCCGACTTGCTCCCGTCTGACCCGATAACAACCGTGAGGGGAGATGCAGATAGGTGCGCCCTTCCAGTGGGCTCCTCTATCCAAGGCTCTGTTGCTCCTTGGCTCTTGGTGGCTACGTCTCTTCCTTTTGTTTCCAAGAGCTAAACCTTCTTGCTAGTACTCAGTGCAAGTAAACGGGCTGTGGGTTGGGAAGGGATGGAATCTGCCCTCTGCCCAACACACCACAGCCGCTGTGCTTTGGGTTGAGGGATGAGTTGGCTGGTGGTGGATACACCAGGCTTTCTGCAACTCCTCATGCATGCTTGGCCATAGGGAGCATGCTACTCACCCTAGACTGGCTTTACGCATCCCACCACCGTGTGCACACGCAATGGGACTGCACTAGTTCCACTGAATTCTGCAGTCAGATCTTCCTCAGCCAGGGAGCGGTGATGGGAGGCAGGATTTACCTCTTGGAGCTGTGGTCAGTGAGGGGTAAGGCCAGCAGGAGGAAGGTTTTCTCCTTTGTGCAGCTAGCAGGCATAGAAATTACCAGACTAGATCAGACCTGAGGTCCATTAGCCCTGTATCCTCTCTCTGACTGACCAGCGTCTGGTGCTTTGCAGGAAGGTGAAAGAAATCCTGCAGTAGACAGATGTAGGGTAATCTGCTCCTCACCCTTATTTCCTTGCAGCTGGACCCCTCCAAATTCCACCCTTCCTATACTTTCCTAGCTGCTTCCCCTGAGAAGTGCTTGGAA